GGGGGCGGGTCTGTGCCACGCGGCGGGCGCGGGCGCCGGCGCGCACCTCGCGGGCCACATCAGCCGGCGCATGCGCACGCCCTTCAAGCACATCGTCGGTGAGCGATCGCGGGCCGGCGACACGCTCCCCGTGTTGCAAACGCTTCGGTGGTACTTATTGTGGCCTTCTTCAGAGCTATGCGTGTAATGGTTAGCGTATCGGACTGTTATACCCAAGTTGGCGGGTTCATACCCGATCGAAGCCGTGGATTTTTAAAGGCGAAAAAATCCTTCGTACGCCTTCCTTCGGAGGGGAAGTAAAGCCGGCTGTCCCATGTTCGTAGATTTACTTGCATGTAAAAGATCCTCAAGCCCAAATGACGCCTCTGAGCAAAGTTCAAATCGCCTGTTTCGTCGCCCAAGAAATACCTCTTTTCTCTGCTAGTTGGTGAAAGGAGCGTAGCGAAATTTGCGTGGTCAGACGGAAGAGCGGGCCTGATGGCCCGAGTCTCGCCACGTAAAAGAAGGCAAATTCAATTCAATTAATTCAATATGCGAAGAGGCAGACGTTAAGAGTGATTTCAAAAAAAAGGAGATATTTAAAAACTGCAAAGTATACGAACGTAATTTCTTGAATGGTACTTTCATGTCTACTTATTTGGAGATTACTCCTTAATATAAAGTTAATTTTCATCCTCTAATTTAATATTAACTTATTAATTGATAAAAAAAGAAGTACGAACTATAGATTGAACGTCACTATAGTGTCGTTCAATCTACTGATTGGATGACAGCGTCGCAGCTAAATGTTAACGGACATAATTTTTTAATCGTCAGAGCTCTGAAGAAGGTCACAACATGATGGTCGAAGCATCAGCTCGACCAGCTGTGACGCGGCTCATCTAAGGCAGCTAAATCAAAATGACTCCGGTCGCGGAAGGCTATGAATCCACCAAAGATTACAGTGTTTCTTCTTATTTTTTTCTTTCTGAGGCTTTTCCAGGCTTCAGGGGATGTTGATTTCGACTATCCGCGCCGGTTTCCATGTCCCTCATGGGGACACATGTTAACCTGTTACACGAGACACACTTGCGGTCTCCTTGGTCTGTTATTAGCAGACTTACAAGGCCTTCCGCGACAGCACGCATACATGAAAGACAAGGAACAAAGAACCATGCCCACGGCGGGTCTCGAACCCGCGACCTTTCATACCGAGACGCTGAGTCGGCACATGCTCCAGCCACCTCGGCTATGGTGTTTATTTATTTGCTTATGTCAGCTAAAAACTGTGTATGACGTGATATGGGGAGAAGTTAATTTGAAGTTATATTTATGTCCAGAAGCAAAACAAGGGGCCATCTCAGCATTTGCTCGAGGATCATGGAAACTGGACAAAACCTGATCGATTTGGGGGTCATTGACCCAGAAGCTGAAGGACAATACTTGTTGCATGGAGAGCGAGAAGTGTTGAGAAACATTTTGAAAGTGGAATAAAGTGACAATTTTCATCGGTGACCAACCAAACATAACTCGATGAAGGCGTAATTGAAATAAAAGGTGCAAAAAAACTCTATCTGTTTCAATGACGTATGAAAGGGTGATAACTTTGGTATTCGACTGCATTTAAAATTCCCTTTAATATTGTGACGCAAACTGGTGCCTGAAACTCATTGGCTGAAGTCGGATATAATGCGCAATAGCTCACCCACGTATGACGCAGCCACTCGGCACGTTTACGTTCACGATCGTGTTTGAACCATTAACACCCAGCGTTTTGTCCGATTTAAATGTATGGACTCCCCAAACACAGGAGCTGAAAAGAGAGGAGGACACTGCAATCCAATCGAGAACTTCAATACTAAAAATTGAAGTCGTAACGAAGTTCCTGATTGTATTACCGCGTCACAGCTGCTACCTGTTAAAGGTCGCTACATTTAAATCGGAGAATAATTCTGTGCGTATAGCGCTCGCCCATTGTTGTCGAGTCCATGCACACAGAGGCATTGTTGGAGCGCATGTTTTTTCCACTTTCAGTGCTAAACCATTGTTATGTTGCTATACTATACTACTCGTATTAGAACGTTCCAAACCGCCAACAGCTGGTTATATGAGCATTTTTTTCTAGAAGAAGTAGCAAAACCGTTAGACCATAGGTGGATATCACCTGTCAACTTCGGTGCGAACCAACCACCATTTACTTTACATCAGCCTCTCCCGCCTTCAGTGGCAAAATGCAGATAAGCACGGTTTTAGATGATTTGAACACAAGTCATGAATTCACACACAAGTCATGAATTCGCGATTTAGCGAACTCAGTTAAAACAACATCTACCAATCATAAATGCCGAAACATTCTTTATACGTTTAATTTCGGATGTCACCGTGTAGGTGTTGAAGAAATATAATTCGCAATTGAAGCATTTAAGATAAGAAAAAACAGCGTTGATGTTCAATTACTCATTTTTGGAACAATGAGCATTAATGGCGTAACGATTAAATAAAGCAGTGTTATTAAGTAATACAACTTAGAGGACATACTTTTTAATAATCACGCAGGTGGAAATTTTAATTTGATGAAGGGTTATTGATTATTATGATTCCGTATCTGCGTATTATTACTAACGATTTACATTTATACCGTGCGCACGCAAGGGAGGACTACGTGTCTAGAATACAGCCAAATTAATGTTTTCTTATAAAGCATTTTTATATTTATCCTGAATATAAAACGTATATTTTTATTTGTTGACGTATAGCTAATATTATTTCGTAAACAATTGATATTCTGAATGAATTTCTTAAACAAAAACTTTAGTCAATGCTATGCTTTTCAGTGTTTCATTTTAATAAGGTGCTGAAGTATACGTAAGCTACCGCGGCTCGAATCCATGAATTTTTGGCTATCCGGGAGGCGAAACGTCGGCACCCCAGCCAACGACGCGGCGTCTCCCGGATAGCCGAGAATTCAAGGTGCTGAAGTACCATGAGCTTCCTTTCTTGGGTATGCTACTGAGTGAATAAGTTGTATCATTCTTATTTAATAACTATTTTTTTTACAATCTTAATTTTGAGAAAAAGTGCTTGTAAAATTTCGGTCATTGAATTAATTACATGTTTAACTTTTTATAGTTAGAAATTAATGTTTGATTTTAACGAACGACCGTTAATCAGGTTGACATGAAAATGGTAATAAGGCGTCCCGAACGGAAATATCGCTGAAGTGGTAGGGCAGTAGCAATCTCGTACCGAAGAACTGAAGGTTCAAATCTTGTTTGTGCAAGCATTTTTACCCGAGAGTTGTGTCATAATCACCATGTATTACTTTTACGGACAACATATATACTCTTCATTGCAGTTATCTAAAATGGTAAAAATTGTATTTATAAAACCAATAGTTTTTGAAGAGAAAACTGAAATTTCAACTTATTCTCAACCATTATTAATGCACAGTAGCAAGTTTAGATAATCCCAAAAGCCCTCGTAACCTTGGCGAAATTTGCGGGTTTCAGACGGAAGAGCAGGCTTCATGGCCCGAGTCTCGCCACGTAAAATAAG